TAGCAAGGAGGGGAGTGATTAACTTTTCAGTCTAGGAGCAGAGGTCCATAGGACCATCAAGGGAGAAGAGCAGAGAGCGGGACCCTACCCAGAGAAGCAGTGATGCCTGAAATGGAGCCAGAGATGATGACTGCAAAGATGGAGCAGCTGGAGACTGTAGATCCAGAGACGGAGAGCGACTGTGTGCTGAGACCTGGTGGGTACGCGGGAAGGATTGCATGGAGGGGGGACTGTAACCATGGCAATGAGACGATATACGATTGAATGTAAAACTAATGTTCTCCCATGTAAACTATCACATAATTCACACAAAAAATTTAAGAAAAAAAAAAAAAAGAAGTGGTTGGTGACTCCATACAATAAGCACTAGACTGCGAACCACAATGTCAGTGGTTTGACCCACCAGCAGCTCCGTGATAGAAAGATGAGGCTTTGTACTCCCTCAAAGATGTAAAAGTCTTGGTAACCCTATACACCGGTGGCTATGAGTATGAAACCACTTGACAGCATTTAACAAAGTAGTAAACAGACCCAAACCAATTGTGATCAGCGCTCACTTAGGCATCAAGCCATCATCAGCCCACTGATGATGCTAATCTCACCATCAGCTGTTCGAAACTACCAGCTGTTGCGCGGGAAAAGGATGAGGTTTTCTGCTCCCCTAAAGATTTACAGCCTCGGAAACCCTGCTACAGGGTCGCTATAAGTCGGAACCGACTCCACGGCACATAACAACAACATACATACATGAATATACGTATGGATGAGAGAGAGAGAGAGAGAGCTCAATTGTTAGATGTAAGAAGCTCTGGTAGCTTGTTGTTGTTGTTGTTAAGTGCCATCGAGTCGGGTCCGACCCATAGCGACCCTGTACAGGGTTTCCGAGGGTGTAAATCTTTACGGGAGTAGAAAGCCTCATCTTTCTCCCGCGGAGCGGCTGGTAGTTTAGAACCGCTGACCTTAAGGTTCGCAGCCCGATTCGTAACCACTACGCTACCAGAGCTCCTTAGTGGTTACGAATCGAGCTGAGGCTTTCTACTCCCGTAAAGATTTACACCCTCGGAAACCCTGTACAGGGTCGCTATGGGTCGGAACCGACTCGACGGCACATAACAACAACAACAAAGGGGCAGTGGGGTGAAGAAAGCCCTAAACGTTAAGGACACTGGAAGATCTGCAAACCAATTGTCCTCTGAAAATGCTATCCTTTACCTTTGTACCTTAAATACTTAGAGGGCACTCTTCATGTCCTTAAGTTCAACTCCTTTAGTTCCCAAGTTAGTTTAGTAAACTCTTGTGGGACCCATCCCAGCAGATTTCTGGCTTTCAGCCTCTCACAATCCCCTATCTCCACACCAAGAAATCCCAGTATACTACGACCGGCCTCAGAGGCACAGCCCCGTCTCCTCTAGAC